AACAACAAATGAGAGCACAAAACATTCATAATGTCAACACCCCCACTTGCTCACATTTGGGTAACTTCCTCTGACTCTTAATATTTCAACCAAAATACATTCATGATACACCAAACAAACATTTCATACTTCCTTAACTTAATCTTTGTTGCTGGTTTAGTTAGTACATCTGCAACCATTTCATTGATTGGACAGTACTCTAGAAATACTTTTCCTTCATTTGACAAAATTATATTTAATATCAATATGTTTACATCTTTGTCTATATACAGGATTTTTGGCTAAGGATATGGTACCCTGATTGTCTTCATAAATCTTAGCTAAATAATCCAGACCATCCATGTTGAACAACAGTTGCTTCAAGTATAAGCATTCCTGTACAGTAGCAGCTAATGCCATGTACTCTGCTTCACATGTAGACAAAGCTACTGTAGGCTGTCTTTTGGTCTTCCATGAGACTAACGGACCATCTTTATTTAGACTCATACAGTAACCTGTTGTACTTCGATCTGATACATCACCTGCCCAATCAGCATCACGGTATGCATATATAAGGTTATCACAGGCACCCTTTTTAAAACATAGTTCTTTATCTTGTGTACCTTTTAGATACCTGAAAACATGCTTTACAGTATTCCACTGCTCTGCGGTTGGGTTTGCAAAGTACTGTGCCAGTTTACTTACTACATAGCTTAAATCTGGTCTTGTACATGTTGACAAATAGATTAAGCTTCCTACTGCCTCCCTGTATTTTCTGACATCACTCATTACTTCAGCATAGTTGAGTTTCTGCTCACAAGGAGTAGTTCGTGGCTTACAGTTCTGCATGTCAAACTTTTCCAATATTTTCCTCACATACTTTGACTGTGACATTTTAATACCGTCAGCATCTTTCTCAAAGTCAATGCCAAGAAAATGTGTCAACTTTCCTAAGTCCTTCATCCTAAATCTGGATGCAAGTTTCTCTTTTACATCCCTAAGGATATTCATATCACTGGCAGCAATAATCAAATCATCAACCCATATAATGATAAACACAGTTTCAGCATCAGTGATCTTTGTGTAAACACAATGATCAGCAGGGTTTTGAACAAACTTGATTTCACATAGGTAGTCATGCAACATTTTGTTCCAGTTTCTGCCCGACTGTTTAAGTCCATAAAGAGATTTTTGCAGTTTATACACCAGTCTTTCATTTTCTTGAGATTCCTTCTTGTAGCCCTCTGGTTGTTCAATATAAAGTTCACATTCGATTGGAGCATGTAAATATGCTGTCTTTAC